TTATCTCATGATATCTCAGATAATTCAAAAAAAGATATTCAGCTCTGTTTTTCTGAATTAACAAAATAGTCTCCTGTACAATCCAGCAACTGGCTCTCACTTTCATGGAAGCAAACGTGTCCCTTCTGTTTAGTTTAATCTGGTTTTATTTTGGTTTGGGTTTGAGACATTTGGAGATACTCCTTTCTATAAGTGTCTTACCTCTGTTGACACTGTACTTGTAACCATACAGCTCTGTTAGAGGGTTGTATCAGGGTTGGGCTGATATGTTTCAACAACTGTAGCTCCCGTGCTGGTGAGAGATTGCATGATTTCTTTATTTTTTTATTTAAGAAAAACAGATAATTCCCCTGAAAAAATAAAATAAAATTCAGCTCTGTTTTTCTTAATTAAAAAGATAATTAAGCCGTCAATTCAGAAAAAACAAAGCAGATTATATTCTTATATAAATGCAATATGCTTCCGTAAATCTGAACCTGTTAACCCAACATTTTGTTTCCTGTGGTTTGATTTGGGCTAAAAAAACATAAGGAAACAGTTACATGTCTGTGTGGGTTTACTTCAGGTCCTCTGGCTTCCTCCAGTCCAAAGACAGACAGATTGGGGTTAGGTTACTTGTGAGGTGTGAGTGTGAGTGTGAATGGTTATTTGTCTCTGTATGTTGGACCTGCAGTACGCTGGCGACCTGTCCAGTGTGTACCTCGCCATAGTCCAGTGTCAGCAGGGACTGGCTCCACCTCCCTCAAAGGACAAGTGGTATAGATGGTGGATGGATGTAAAACCGAGGCAGTTGATATAAAACAGAGCCTTATCCAGACTAGAACGGTTGAGTTGGGTCTCGTCAGGTTTGAGTTGAGAATCAAAGCTCCGTAGTGAACACAGAGGCCAGCGGAAACACATCAGGGATCTGTAATCAGGTAGAGATGCAGACTCTTTTTCTGGCGCTAACACATTTAATCCAATTACCACAGCAAGTCTTGTTTGCTCTGTGTGTTCCGTTTTGACCCTGTCAGCTACAGTGAAGGCTTGTGAACACGTACGTTTGAGTAGGAGCGTGTGTGTGCGTCTGTTTTCGTGTATTTTCAGGGAGACAACAGGGCCGGCCTCTCTGACTGTGTCAGTTTAATTAGCGCTGTCATCTTATACTGAGCCTGGATGGAATGACTTGAGAAGAAAAGTCATTTCCTCTCTCTTTTTAAACTGGATCATAGACTCGCCTTTTTACAAGAAGATGTGGAAGGTTCATTTGAATTTTATATTTATATGTGAGACACACGCAAACACACGCGGTTGCCCACAGCAAAACAACACACACACACACACACTCAGACAAACACACACACTCAGACAAACACACCACCTGGAATCCTGGTGATGCGTTGAATTAAAATTCACAGCGGTGAGTTGTACCTACTTATCTCTAATCTGTTTTTCCGAAAATCTCCCGGTTATTAGTTATTTTTACCCTGGAGCTTTAATTCCCATCTTCTACATGGTAAGATACAATAAATGAATAATATTCCAGCATAGATTATCCGCAGGTCAGAATGAAGTCTTTGAATTTTCAGCAGAGTGTAGGAGAGATTAAATAATTGGCCATGTAGAATATCAATTAATATATATTCCATGAGATGATGTAATGCTGTGCAATAGCCGACATTGTGTGTGGGTGTGTGTGTTGAGTATGACACATTAATAGGTTTAATTTTAGTGTCTCACAAAAACACCACTGTGACACATTTTTGCGGTTCTCAGATTCAGTAAGATTTGACCACACTCACACATGCATACACTCACACTGAGTGATTGACTTCTGCAAAAGCAGGTACAAGACAGAATAGGTCAAAGAGCTAATCTCTTAACACGTGTCAGCAAAGAAAATCATTAGCACTCACGTATGTCCACAAACACACACATGCAAATGCTGAAAAGTGTGTTTCTATCGACGCCGGCTTCACAGGCAGCTCCTGACATTTCGCTGGGAGTGTGAGGCTAAGCGTTCAGACCTTTCGAGAATATTATTCTCTCATTCCTCTCCCATTCTCCTTTTATTCCACCGTCCTTATCTATGTTTGTTCCTAGAGCATGCTTTGTTGTCCGCTTCCAGCAGGTGCACCTGCCTGAGGTTTTGTGGTGCCTGTCAATGACCGGATACACACACACACACACACACACACACACACACACACACACACACTCTATCAAGTCTTAACCCTCAACTAAGTTTTTGAAAAAGTGAGGACTGGCCATAATGTCCTCACTCCGTAAGGTCCACGCTCGAAATGGTCATACATGCTTTTTACACAGGCATTGTTTGGGTTTAGAAAAGATTTGAAGACCAGGCCGAATGGGAAACTTGACTTTTTTGCTGTGTGTCAGAGACCAGGGACGAACCTGAATAAATGTATACATGAATCTATACTCAAATAGAACCAAGTACAGAATGATATGCAACGATATGCATCAGCCAGGTGTGTTGCTATGGTGAGGAAAATGATTGGCCATGCTCTAGATTACAGTGTTCGCTTTCCAAAACAGCCTGCGTGCACACACAGTAGCAGCACAACACACACACACACACA